GTATAAGAGACAGTATATACCGTATTTATTCTAATAAACGTTCTAGTAATTCTCATTACATTCTATTAATGTTCTACTCCAGTAGAATTACTTTTTTCTAACCTGGTTGGGATTAATAAGTCTTTATTAGTATAAGTAATTAAATTAAGGGCGTTTATTTTAGTATATAGGCATACGTATCCATTTTACATTAAAAAGAAAATAAGCACCTCCCTCGAATAAACTCCCCTCAAAATACCCTTTTCAACAATAAACGCCGGTATTTATGATTTATCGCACATCCGTCCCACGATCAAGATTACTGGCACACGATTCCGCATTCGGAATACGCAATGTCTAACGAACCGGGTGCTGAGGATTATCTCAAACTAAAAATGATAATATAAACGTATTTTAAATATTGATGTGCCATTATAATTGATGTGTATTATATTTTTTTCTTTGTAAAGAGCGACTTTGACTGTTATATATTTTAGAAGATTGTAGCAATATTATATCAAAAATATTTGCTTTATGTTTTACCGTATCTATTCTGTTTCCTTTTTTTTAAATAATCATTTTATTTTATTTCATTCGCGGCTTAAGCACTGTCCAGGCTATCACATTTTATTAGACAAAAACATGTGACATGCCTAAATATGGTCCTGATAACATTATATCATGACCATATATATGCACATGATGAGCATACAACATATTTTGTCAAAGAAAATTTTATACAGATTTAGACTTTTATGTTTCTGTTATTTTGTTCTATTTTATATATCCAAAAAGTGAAATTACTGACGTGATGCTAGGCCGTGTGATGAATCAGCATCAACTGATCTACGATGTAAGTAATGAATATTTTATCGGGAAGACCCAACTATTTACATACTCGAAAAAACAAAATGGTTGCATAGTTACCGCGATACACACTGCATAAATCAAGGTTGCTTCGGATTGTGGCAGTATGCATTTTTTGTTTAAAAAAATGTTTTCATCTAGTTTTTGAATTCTGTTAGCTAACAATTATTGTTTGACTTCATGTGGGTAAATATTATAATTTTTATTTTCTGAAATTTAATCTAAATTATATCAACGCAAATGTTGTTGCTAAACTGACCAGTTGGCCATAGTTGTTTTGGTCACATGGATCGCTGATTAACGCACTCTGATCTACGTTAATTTTCAACGCAGTCTATTTTACGAACCAGTCGAATGAAAATTATACTCAACGAAAAATCGTAGTCAACGAAATGAACCAGTCGAATAAGCCCAATGTCTCTTTGGGCCTAAGCTATCAAGTTCAGCTGTGGCGCCACGATCGGACAAATAGTTAATCATTATAAACCAGCACAAACTTTTGGAGAGTTGTAATTTAGCCTGAGAACACCACAGATAATACGTCTTGTTAATTTTTAGTAAATATTTACTTACCTGTAAATAGGTATTTGAAATTAGATTCCAAAGCCTTACTAGTTGCAATCTGAAAAAAACATTACAGTAATATAACAATGTGCGTCTTTCTTTGACAAAATAAATTTTGACTGATCAAAGTGGTTTTAAGTTATTACTAATAAGTGGTTTCGATATTACGACCTCTAATCAAAATTGAAGTAATAAAATTAGGTCTGATAAGAGGACCAATGGCCTAATATTCCTATTAACAGGCCTCAAGCTTGAATAATAGACCAATAATAGACATATAATAGGCCTAAGATAAGCCGAAAATACTTAATAATATGCATAATAATATAGGCCTAGTAATAATAACAATAATGCAAATGCAAAAACAACAAGCACTAAGAAAATAACTAAAAATATAAAATTTTAAACAAATTTTAATTCACAAGGATATGGACAAACAGAAACCCTTACGACAAGCGCTAATACGCAAACTGCTGGCAAAAGCCATGCAATAATGGCCATGCAATACAACTATTTCATGCACATTTTTCTCTTAAGGGGCTCTGTTATAATTGTACAAAAACAAAAACATATCTATTCATGCAGTTAGCAAAACCGCGACTGCAAAACTGAAAATGCCCGTCTATTTTTAAACATAATCCGTACTACACAAAACAGGCAGGGACAAAAAATAACCTTGGTACAATAATAGATATGTGTATGATTACAATTTTACCCCGTCATATCATTCACAATGGACACTATTAATAGGTTTACTGTTGGATTTGAAAAAAATCGAATAATGTATTTTTTTTTTCTAATTCTACTAATGCCTTGTTTGTCACAAGAGTATCGAATAATTATGATCTTTTGGAATACTTGTTTTCGATTTATAGTTTTTCTTTTTCATCTAACAATATTTTCGTGTGAAAGCAAGAACGCAGTGTGCAATGTAATTGACTAACTTAATTGCCAATTTACATCATAGAAGACGACGTTAAGAATTCGCGTAGGATTCAATAATGTATGCCTAATGCTATATACTGTGGGGTACCTTGTTAGGCTGTCTCATGGAATCTCGATGCGCCATGATAACAGAAGTGTAGGAACAAGAGAATGAATAAAATGCTAAACCCTTATTATGCTAAAAATACTGTAATTTTCATTGTATAAGAGACAGGAGTTACTGTTTTGTGAAATAAAATAATACTTGATTACTAAATATTAAAGTCGGCCAGGGCACAAATTCAGAAAGGACTTAGCCCTTCACCGTTTTGAGAATTTGACCGAGAGAGAGTAAATTAATCACAATAACAATTAGGCCTATAATAGGACAAAAACAAATCGTCTTACCTTAGTAATTAGACATACTATGATGATAAAAACTTTCATTTTCTGAACAATTCTCATCATAACCTAATAAAATAAAGAGATTTTAATAATTCATTACAGATTCAATGAAACCAGTCAACCCATACATCAACTGGCAAAAGGCTTGAACAAAAAATTATTTTCTTTTGACTCAAACTAATTAACTTTTGAGTACTTAAGTATGCAATATAACTGAAAGTTATTAACAATAAATACCTGTATAGGCATATGGTTACAAAGCCACTGACAATACGCATCATTAAATCAAGGCAGACAATGTAAGGATTTTACATATAGGCCTATATTAACATTTTGTTTTGTAGGTGTATGTATGTATATGTGTGTTCATTAGTTTTCTTCTCATTTCTTTAAAAATCGAAAATGACAAGAAATTAGTTTACTTCCTGTTTTGACCTTTATATTATTGTAAATTTCTATTATACGGTAGTTGAAATAAACTGTACATTTTGCACTTACGAAACGGTAAAAAGAAACAGTAAAACGTCCCACTTAAAATTAGACTATAAATCAATTGAGATTAAACGTTTGATATCTTTAGTCTCGACATTGCTGATTACAAAATCTGATGAAATGCTGTTGGTTAGATTAGTGATTTGGGAGGCCCTATGTAGATAGTAATATATTGAAATGTAGGCTAGATATAGAATCTGAATTATGGTTATTAAAGTGTCCTTGATTAAACAAATCTTCAATAGACTACATTCGTGTTAGGTTTCCTCACTGACGATGTAGCTCTGTTGCGAATACGTGTTGATCGAAGGAACCAGAAAACTGCATTTCGAATCAGGAAGGTCCTACAAAATGTTTTTAAACTCTCTTTTTAACGAATTTCCGCAGATTATTAGATTGCTATTTCTATTGCTATTTTTACTTTTTTTCATGAGTGACCGTAGATTTTATTCAGCGTGTTTACACGTTACCGGTATGCTTCAGCTGAATCTTAATTTATCATCATTTTTACCTAATAATCTAGGGAGTAAATTAATATGAATGAATAATATAATTAATATAAATATTTATCAGAAATACATATTTTGTGTCTGTAAATTTATTTATAATGATATTGATAAAATATTCAATAATATTTTGGTGTAATATCTGTTAAACGAAAAAGTGTGTTGCTTCGTTGCTTTCATAATGAGTTTATATAATGTCATCTTGTAAATTATAGGCCTACCTAGTTACAACTAATAAAAACCAAATTATAGGTAGCGGGCAATGCCGTAGCCAGGATTTTCAAACAGTGCGGGACTATATCAGGGTGGACCCATTTACTCGTAAATTCAAACAAATAATGTGGACTCTTTTTACGCAAATATGAAAAATCTGAACCCATTTTCATAAAAGTTGATCCGCATTTTACTCAAAAATATGAAATTCATTTTTCAAAAAGTGGACTCACCTTGTGCATAAAACAGCTTAATTTAGACCCACTTTAAAAATATGGACCCATTCTTTGTGGACCCAATAGAAAAATAGTGTGGGACTGTCCCAACTGCTGGCTACGGCATTGGTAGCGGGATTAGGGACACCAATTATTAGCATTGATGATACTAAAATTTAGCACATTTTTCGTAAAGTATGCAATTATTAAGGAAATCATGTTTTTTTTAAATTTTATTTTATTTATTGGTATAAATGAACACATAGAAGGCAACATAGAAATGTTCAAAAATTATCTGAATTCACAAAAACTCTTATTCAATCAAATTAACAATTTAAAATTATTGCCCACATCTAATAAGTAGAAAAATATACATTTGAACAAAAAAAGTAAATTAATACATTAATACGTTAGGCTTATTAATAATAGTAAATAAATTGACAAAACATATTTAGTGATTGCAGTACATAATCAAACATGTTCACTTGGAATTACTTATTCACTATTCATTAGTTTGACTAAAGTGTGAGTGGTATACATTTGGCTTGTTCTACAATGAAGGCATAATGTATCGTTTAGTCTTTCGTAATGTTCTGAGTGGTTGTAATCTTTCCGGCAACCATGCTTTAAAACGATCATTGGAGATCAATACCTTACCAAAGTTAAATAGAATTGCGGATCGTCGAGCGCTAAGATAATAGCAACTGAAGAATAGTAGGAATCTTGGTAACTGCAATACTTTTGGTAACCAAGGATGATTCTGTTTATGTTTATGATTTTCGATAGGCCTATATAAATTCTGCTTCTTCCGGAGTGTCATAAGGACATGGTTAAAAAAATATTATCTTAATTCGAGTGAACGAAATCATATTTCGAGGGAACGAACTATTACCGCATTTCGAGGGAACAAAATGATATTTCGAGGAACAAAATGTTATTTCGTTCTCTCGAAATGATATACTATTTTTTCTAACCATGTCCCTTTAGGATATCTAGAGAATTCTACCTTATAAAGACACATGACACAATGAATACGAATATTTCTGTAATATCTGTCTTTGGTGGATATTAGTCAAGTGCCGTAAATTCGCAAAGAGCGATAATCTAGAAAACGCTTTAATTTGTTGTATCAACTTTGCGTTAGGGGTATATTTTGATAAGCGGCAATCATAAACATAATGGTGTTGATACGATTTCGATTCGCGCGAATAAATTCGCCAGTGGAAACCCGGCTTTATATCGATTATACTTTAATTTTAGTCAATTCTTATCTTGCTTTATTTATGGCAGAAAGACCATGTAGGTATATAAGTTTCATTGTTCAGAGAAAAACTCAGGTAGCATGTACGAAATCACGAGCACCACTATATTACAACAAAAATACAACACTCAGAAAAATAATAATTGGAGGTACGGACTAGGCAAAACCTGATTCTTGCGTGCACGTTTGAAAACATTGGGATCAGTAATGTCTCTAAGTACTTGTCTGACGCTACGACAATGTCGTTAGACTGAAGATATAGTTATATAAATCCAACTGAAGGTAATATGACTGCCAATCCCTAATACTGTGGTCTAAAAGTACAATTTTGGGCCATTCTAAACCATAAAATCGCTCTCCACGATGGATCGCAACAGAAAATGTTGTACCGCGGCGCCTGTGGCTCTCTTCAGCATCTTTCCGTAAAAAACAAAGATTCAAAGATGAGCAATCATTGAGATTAACATACAATGGCCAGTTACAACAATTTACAGTAAAAGAAGTCTATGCCTATGTCAAAGGTATTTCATTATTATTGTTAATGCGCCTAATGATCAACAGTAATATGTTTATCAGACTAAGTTGTAAGACAAAAAAATATTATTGGAATTATTTATCCCTCGGAATAATAGTTTGAGGGAACGAAATATTATTTTGAGGGAATGAAAATGTTATTTCGTTCTTTCGAAATAATTGATTTAATATTTTTTTCTAACCATGTCCCTTCAAGGGAAATCTACCTTATAAAAACATATGACACAATGAATACGAATATTTCTGTAATGTCTTGAGTCAAGTTCCGTACATTCGCAACGAGCGATGATCTATAAAACGCTTTAATTGTGGTATCAACTTTGTCTTAAGGGTATATTATGATAGCCAATCATAAACACAATGGTGCTGATATGATAAGATCGTTAGATTAGACAGCTTGGCTTGTGAAAATTTTTCTGTCATCACATAGGCCTACTTCACCATTAAGCATTTTGGGATAATGAAGGTGTTGTTTACATTAATGATGGGTAACCATGACTTAATGGCAATTTTAATGAATCGGTAAAAAACACTGTGTCAGCATACATTTCATTAATAACAAACTAAATAATGTATTTAGGACAAGCACTTCATCCACGGTCGCCGGCCAATGAGATGCCACGGAGAACGGAAAGCAAACTCGCTAACGGATAAAATAATCCGGCGGCGTCACGATCATGCGCTCTGAAACGAATAAGAATGAAATAAAAGCTGGATAGTACAAGCTAAAATTTTACCGTACGATAGATGTAGGCATCTCATTTTTGTCTCTTGTTGGTTTACATGTGGGGTAGCTGTGTAGCTCCTGTGCTGTTAATTTGAATTATGAATTCTCATGTGTGTTGCATTTGTTGCGTTAATGCCTGGTTTACATAGAATCTCCACACAGTCGCTACATACAGCGTTTTCACTGCAATCCTGGCACTGCGAAGCTGTCCCCGACTAAATGAGGAATGCCCCCTAATTCAACTGACCAATAATCAGCGTTGCCAAAAGAGTCGGTGATAGCGTGCAGCGGATTTGGTGGAAACCTGGTCCTCGCACATTTTTTGTAAATTTTTATTAGCGAAAATCGGTATTTTGACAGGAGGAAATTGTAAAAATGCCGTCGGAAGCATTTTGCAAGTGATCCGGTGTCATTATAGTAAGAGCTGGGGTAGGGGGTTTGATTTGGTTTTTACTAAGACTCGCTACGTCTAACCGCGGGTACAAGATTTAAAGTTCGCAGGGTCTGAGAGAATATCCACCCTAGCCCCCACTATGGTTGCTGAACAACCTCTGAATACTGACAACCTGTAGAACCACTACTTCTCCTCTTCAAATGCGGTTACAAGATTTAAACATGGAGATACACTATCTCTTTGAAATAATGGCACCTCTGAATGCCCGAGACATAAATATAATATTGCAAGGTATTGTGAAATATAACAATATGCAATTAAATAAAACATGTGTTATGTATTCATAGGATGCAATATGCTATGCATTATGAAATAGGCCTACAATATGAATACCGTAGAGTTTCGAATAACATAATGTTGCTGATACAATTTTAATTACACATATCGGTACTTGCCAATTCAGCCTGAAGCATTAATATTTTTTTTATCACGCCCTCCGATGAGTTGTACTAGATTTTTTTTTTTAAGTTCTCTGTTATGTTTGCTTCTCATATAGGTGTTATACAAACACAACACTCAGAAAAATAATAATTGGAGGTCCTAGGCAAAAAGTGATTCTTGAGTGCACGTTTGAAAACATTGGGATCAGTAATGTCCCGAAGTTACTTACAAACATGGACACCCCCAGACCTTGTCTGACGCTACGACAATGTCGTTGGACTGAAGATATTTAGTTTTATAAATCCAATTGAAGGTAATATGACTGCCAATCCCTAATATTGTGGTCTAAAAGTATAATTTTGGGCCATCCTAAACCATAAAATCGCTCTCCATGAATCTCAACAGAGAATTTTGTACCGCGGCCCCTGTGGCTCTCTTGAGCCTACTAACAAATATATTATGCATTCATATACGCATACAGATGGATATGCGAAATCAAAAGAAATCAAGTAAAGTTGGCATGAACGCTTAATAGTTGGAATACAAAGATTAAATTTTTTTTTTTTTTGTAAAAAGTAAAGAGAAAAGGTGAATTATAATATTGACATCTAACTCATTACAGAGTCTAAGACCGAAAATAGAAATAAAATATTTAGAACTTTTTAATCTTACAAACGAAACTATTAACTAAATGCTTCGTAAATTATAACCATGATTAATGACATTTTTGAATAAGCTCATCATGGATGAAGGAAGAATAAAAAAAAAGAGAGATAAAAGTAGCAACTTGGACTTTTATTAACTTTAATTTTAACGACTTAAGTGCTTTAAACAACGGATCTGATGGCGTTTGATAAGATGAACAAGTGATGGTTCTAACAACCTCGACTGCTAACATGGCTTTCTAACTGTTTTTTATGGTTTTATCTTACAATTCTGTGGTTCATCAATAAGATACCTTTTATCCAATAGCAGATGAACTAAAGTCAAGGTTATAAATTTTTACAAACAATATCAATAACAAACGTGTCGAACCCTGAGACATTATGTCTACTGTACTGAGGTAGCGTGTGCAACAGCGTTAAAAGCCGGGCGCTCACTGTGTCCGACGGGACGTCGGCCGACGCGATTCTATGGAGAAGGCAACGCCACGACGCGAGCGCAATGGGTCGTTACAAATGACGATCTGCTCACACTGCCACTGGCAATCAGCAGACGGTGTCGCGTCGTTTAAAGCTCACAGGGAGCGGAGTTAGATTCGTCGGCCGACGGTCGTACGACGCAGAGTGTCCGGCTTAAGGTGTTAAACTTCTAAGATCAACGCCCAATTGCATGTGTCCTTGATCAAGGCACTTTACTTAGGCCTACGATTCCCCCTTCACCGAGGGGTATAAACCTGGTAGATGTTAGGGCATTGAATGTATGGGTTTTGCGTGTAAATCAGCATGGCTGGGAACAGGGAATATCGTACAAAATGTGCCGGTTTGGTAACTCCAGTGACCATGGAAATAATGATGGGCAGCGCCTTTTATATTGGATTGTGAAAAGGCGCTACATAAATTCAGATTCTTAAACAAAATTAAATTATTTTATGATCGAGATCTATAAAACCAATTTGGTACACACACGATACCTACAGTATTGTTACTTTATTTAAACATGGAGGAAATTGAGATAAAAAGGATTGGAAAATCGTTAAAGAAATCAATGTATATTAAACTGAAGGCTGTTATTACGTTTGTCTTGTGTTTAATGCATTTATCTGTTATAATCACCAAGAAAATCATTTCTTACTGAATCGTGCAGGCTTCTTAGTACGTGTTTTATATTCTTATCATTATAATGTTGTCACAATTTAGTATTCACATCGGTGAAAAGGAGTCAAAATGTTCTGCATTATGATATGAAGTTTAGCTATACATAAATTTATTCAATATTTACCAAGACCTATATGCTATACATG